GGAAAAATGAGTAGATAAAATGAATAACCTGGGCAGAGTAAGAAGCGTCCTGGTGAGGAAGAGAAACAACACTGAAAAATCAATGGAAAATGTCAAATTATCAAAGACTAAGACACACCCCAATTGTTTGCAGCCCATTGCGTCAAGCAGGACACACCTGCAGAGAGGCCACCAACAAGCAAGGGGTTCTTTGTCCAAGGTCTCCCCACCCCAACCCTACTCATACCTGTTGGGGAGGCAGCAGCCCAAACAGGAGGGAACTGCCCTTTTTAAAAGGTCATGGGAAACCAAGGTATGCAGCCAGGCGAGCCCAGAGCAGCCAGTCCCTGGCTGTCCTCCCACCCCAGTTCTCACCACAGCTTGAGGTGCTGTCCCTTTCCTCATCCACACAAAGCCACTGAGCGGGAGGAGAGGCAGCGGCTGCAAATGAAATCAGACCCTTCTTGGGAGGTTCACGGCCTCAGTTCCCTGCCTGGGCAGGGCAAGCCATGTGTTGTTATGGTTGAGTCAACCAGCTGGGAATCAGCAGGGGGTTTGTAAGGAAACCGCATTAATTAGGAGAAAGCAAACATGACTGTCACTCCAGTCTGCCAGCCCCCTCCTCTGATATCCCTCACAGCAACCCCGCCTCTTGGTCTCTACCAGATCCGCTCTCTCCACCTTCCTGCCCTGTCCATTGCCTCTGCTCCTTCACAGCTCACATCTGCACGCTCTTGGCTCTGACCCCTCTTCCTGGGCGAGGTGGGAGAAAAGCTGGGAGAGCACATCCTTCCACAGTTGGGAACAGAACCTTCCTAGCCCTGAAGCCATGGACAGGACTTTGCTCTGGCCCCAGCCTGCTGTCCTGTTGGCCAGCAGCACGTCACTAGATCAGATTATCTCTGTTGCAAGTTTAACTTTCCTTGGCAAAATGAACATTTCTAGGTTCATCTCCTGTGGGTGTTTCCCTGAATATCTTCATTGAGAAGTTTTATTTGGGACTTAAGTTACCTTCAGAATTAAGAGATGAAGTTCAGGACAAGGTGTGGAGGAAAGAAGGAAGGTCTCCTTGGGAAATGAGGTGGAAACTAGGGGGCTGGGCTTCTCGGAAAAGGAGGTGGTAAAAGATTTTGGAAGAGTAAGGAGATTCTTCAGCCTCCTTACTGCATACATGTGCATACAGTGCCATTGCTGCTCTTACAGTTCCAGGATTGCCCTGTAATCCCAGCACTTTGGGAAGAGGCCAAGGCAGCAGGATAGCTTGAGACCAGGTATTCAAGACTAGCCTGGGCAACATAGTAAGACCTTGTCTCTACAAAAAAAAAAAAAAATTTTTTTTAATTAGCCACATGTGGTGGGGCACACCTGTAATCTCAGTTACTTGGGAGGCTGAGGCAGGAGGATCATTTGAGCCCAGGAATTTGAGGTTGCAGTGAGCTGTGATTGCACCCTTGCACTCCAACCTGGGTGACAGAGCAAGACCCTGTCTCTCTCTTAAAAAAAAAAAAAAAAGTTCTAGAATTTTCCAGGATGGCTACTGCAGCTGGAAATAGTTCTTCCCATGCATGACAGTGACTCTGCCAACAGCCCTAGAGACTTGGGCTCAGTAAAAGACTGTTCCTTTGGGTGGCAGCTACCATTTTGCAGCCCCCAGACAAGGACCTTTACTTCCTTTTATTTTACAGTTGTACTTAAAAAAAATAAAGAATCTACAGCATACCCAACTGGGGAGAGGTGTATAAAAGACTCACTGATGAAATAGAAAATATCATTTTTGGAGTAGAAAGATAAGTCTTAGGAAAATACATTTGAATTGAAAGCCTGGGGGGGCAGGGCTAGAAAAAAGAAAGCAAGCCTAGCAACTAGGGATTGGTTAAGTTATGGCATTTGCAGACAATGAAATAGTATATAGCCATTAAAAATGGTGCCAAAGGACAGAAAAAGAGACCAATGGAACCAAATAGAGATTCCAGAAAACAGACCAGATAAAATGCAGTGGGGAAAAGTATGATATTTTTAATAAATGGTGCTAGGTCAGTTAGATATTGCTATAGGGGAAAAAAATGAATCTTAATCCCAATCTCAGATCACATAATAAAACAATTCCAGATGAAGATCTAAACGTGAAAGATAAAGCAATAAAGTTTTTGGACAAAAACATAGGAGAATATCTTCATGACCCTGAAGAGGAAAAAAAATTAATAGGGAACAAAAGCATCAACCATAAAAGAAAAAATTGATGAATTTCACTATATTAAAAATTTTAAAGTACTGCTCATCAAGAAAAACATATTTCAGGAGAACAAAAAGGCAACTCACAGAGAAGGAGATGACATTTGAAGTACAAATATCCAACAATGGACAAGTATCCAGATTATATAAATAACTACAAATCGATAAGAAAAAGACAGGCAACCCAATATAACATGGGCCAAAAGTCTTGAACAGTTTACAAAAGAGGATATCTAAATGGCCTGTAAACATATGAAAAGTTATTCACCTTCAATAGGCATCAGAGAAATGTAAAATAAATACACAATGAGATCCTACTATATACTAACCAGAATGGCAAGATAAAAACCACAAAAAACATCAAATATTGATAAGGACGTGGAGCAACTGGAACTCTCATACATAACTTATACCAGGGTAAACTGGTACACTCACTATGGAAAACGTTGGCAGTATCTACTAAAGCTGAGTATACGCATACCCTACGACCTAACAGTTCTACTGCTTAGATATATGTCCAAAAGAAGTCTGTTCTTGTATTCATCAAGAGTCACAGAGATGAATGTTCATTGCAGCACTATTTGTAACGGTCGCAAATGGAAAGTATCCAAATCCTATCAACAGAAGAAAATATTTTTAAAATTGTCATATATTCACAGTAGAATATTATATAAAGTTCAAATGCAAGAAAATGTAATTTATGGTGCTAAAAGTCAGGATAATGATTATCCTTGGGGGGTAGTATCTGGAAAGGGTGGTGTACTAGAGTGCTGGTTATATTCTATTCTTGTTATAGTAGTGTGTTTCCTTTTGAAAATTCATCAAGCTGTACATTGATGATTTGTGTGCTTTTTAAATATAAGTAATACTTTGACTTGAGGTTGCAGTGAGCTATGATTTTGAGGTATGTCTTTTGTTTGTTTTTTTTTATTTTAAGGCTGGTCTCCTGAGAAAAATTTGGTCTCACAGAATTGTTTTTTCACGTACAGACTAATAATAAACGGATTCAGAAAAATAAGATATTACAAAACAAAGAATATGCACAGTATTATTTCATTTTGCTTAATGTAAATAATGCTTATCTCTGGATTATGGATGTTTTTTTTTACTTCATCTATTGTTTCACTTTTCTACAATAATCATGTTACCTGTTGTAGAAAATGCAAGTTGCTTTTTAAAATAAAATTTGATTATGATAAGTTAGGATAAGATAATGAGGAGAGGGTTGGCACTTGAATGCTTTAGCTCACTATGTCCAAAACAAGCCCTGTGTGGGGCTCTATTACTGCCTTGGTATCTACTGGATTCCCAGAAGTTGGAAATGGGTAAAGAAATGGGGATGCGGTACAAACACAGGATGTAGCTCAAGGTTATCTATACTGAAGAAAGTGGAAGCTATACGGAGAGTCAAACCTTTCTGGATCCTGGCCAGGACACCTAGACCTACACCCCACTAAGATCCTCTGCTCCATTCCTAATCTGTGTGTCAGTCTCTCCCACCCTGACTGACCTTTCTTTCAAGTTTCCCTTTCACTGGATCTGTCTTTGCTGAATGCGGTGTTTGAAGGTAACCCAATGCCACATTTCTCATGCTCTCCCTGTCTATAGAGATGCCACCCAAACTCTCGAGGTTGCAGCTGCTCTGCATCCTCCTAGGCCACCAACTGGATGATGGACTCCTTCCCTCCCCCTCATTAGAGAACATGCTGTGCCATTTACTGGGCCTGATATTCCCATCTATGAATCAGAGTAGGATAATTAGAAAATCCCCCTACAAGTTTATTACGGAAGATGGGAAAGAATATCCTCCACCAAGTGGAAGAATTGAGCTGTAAATGATTTCTCTTTCTTATGTAGTTCCTGGGGAACATACTATATGTCCTGCAAATCTAAAAGAGGGAAAACTGGGCAGTTGTATTTTCTTTTTGGTACCATGTGATTCCTTATAAGGCAAGTACCTCCAACTTGTGAAAAGCCATCTCCTTAATTGCCCTGGTAACCAGCTTATGTTTATTGAGTATTTATGTTTTATCCCATCTAATCTTTACAACAATCCTATAAAATAGGGTTCAACAAGTATATATCACACTCTTATTATGTGTCAGGCACTGTGCAAAGAAATATAAAACTGCAATTGTGCCAAGTACTAAGATGGAGAGGTATCTGGTGCTGAGGATCAGTAACAAGTTAGTCAAAGAAGACTTCACTGTGGAAATTAAGTTTGAGGTGGGCTCTAAGAAATAAGTGGAAGTTAACCAGGTAGCTACAAAGCAGAGGGAGTAAATATCTTGTGTCCTGGGGCTGGAGAGGAGTCTAAGTATATGCAAATCAAAGATCAGCGTGGCAGTGGGGGTCGGGGAAGGAGGTATTAATTCTATCCCAGGCCTGCCTGATACCTGATACGCCAGAGCCAGAGCTCCTAATCATTTCAACCTCTCCTGTACAGCCCCAGTCACAGAAGCTGAAAATCCACAACTGACTTGCAGAGAAAAGATTTAAAGACATAGGTAGGGGCGGTGCGTGTGTTTTTACCAAGGAAGCCTTCCAGGGAACAAATGTAACCTTGGAGACTGCAGGGACTGGCAAACAGGAGCTAGAAGACCTCCCTTAGATCTTTGGAACGAAACGTAGGCTTGACATAGAGGCCTCTGTACTTAGCCCAAAGTGGACCGGTGAGGGAAATGGAAGTAACAACAGCAACGGAGCAAGAAACACTCGCGTAGCACAGTTCCCGCCCCACCACTGCGGCTGCGTGCGCGCCGTTCCGGAAGCGGAAATGCACAGAGGTCAAGGTTGGTTCTCAAGATGGCGGCCCTCAATGCGCTGGTGTCCGGCTGTGGTCGGCTTTTCCGAGGGCTCCTGGCGAGTCCAGCCACAACCAACTGGGCTCGGCTTCCAGCTCGCGGGTTCAGGGAAGGTGAGTCCCAGGTCCCAGACACCTCACGATATTTAGGAGAAGAGCGGCGGAGATTGCTTTCGCGAACCCCGGTGCGCCCCTCCCTCCTTTTCTCCTTTGCTCGATTTTGAAACATCAGAGGTTGGCACCCACCCCCCGGTTGCTTAAAAGCCCTTTCCAGACCCTGGTACTGTTATCTTGATCTCCCGCCCTTTGCGTGTGTCGTCACGAGGCGGGGAAGGACCGAGAGAAAGGCCTGATTATTTAGCAGGAGCAGAAGAGAAACCTGTCCCAGGGTTCAGAAAAGTTTTCGGTAAGGGTTTGCATGTTAATTCTCCTTTCCATGTTCTGCGAACCGCCGTCCGCCGTCTCCGTCATTAAAGAATACCTGGGCCACAAAGGAAGGACATCTGCCCCACAGCCTCTCTTTCCACTTTCTCTTCTGAAAATGCTGTGATCTGATGGCAACTTTTTCTGCCCACGCCGCTAAGACTCCCTGAGATGGGGAGGCAAGGTGGAAAGGCCGTTGAATAGGTGAGACAGAGGCAAATGCTGGATGGTAGTTTTACTTCTCATTAATCTTAACTCTGGAAAAGCAGCCTGGTTCTGTCATCGACTGAGAGCTTACTGAAGGCCACGTGCTGTGCTTCAAGCTGTGAAGGAATTCTGGAGAAAGAGAAAATACAACCCTTTTCCTGAAAAGCTTAGATTATAATGAGATGATATGTATACACTCCAATAAATGCAAGTTAGCATTTACGTGACAAATGTACAGGGAGATTCTGTTCCTGGAAACAGCAAACCCAATTGGAAGTTTTCGTAAAAGGGATGTGTCTTTAACTGGTTTATAAAAGAGTGGAATCTGGTGGAGAGTGAAAAGGTCTTTCAGGACATAGCCTTCCTTTGTGTACTGCTGGAAACAGGAAAGGATGAGTGATGTGCAAAAGAAGTGATGTGGTTTTTTTAAGGTTCTGGCATGGTATTGGCCAGCCAGCATATCGTCTAAAACTGAAAAGTATCCAGTGGAAGAGTGATCATTGTCAGAGGGAGCAGAAAAGTCCAAAAAAAAAAAGAGCCCAATGAAGGGCCATTGGATTTGTCTGAGAAGAGGTCTTCTTTTTAGCTTTCAAACAGCAATTTCAATAGAATAGCAGAGAAGGAATCCAGTTTGGAGAAATGAAAGAGGTAGTTGAAGAAACAGAAATAGCAGGTATGTTTGAAGAATTTAACTATGAAGGGAAGATGAAACATTTGTTAGGGAAAAAAAATTTTGGATACTACCTGGTTAACATTAAATAGACTAATCTATTAATAAAGACACGGGGCGGGAGTGGGGTGTAAAAAAAAAAAAGACACCAGAGAGATCATGCTGATGATAGAAAGGACGGGAAAAGGTGTTCCATCTGTTCTGCTGCAACATCAGCATAAGTTCATAACATTTTTGAGGGTATCTACTAAGTATCAAAGAGTAATAATACCTCCAATTTGCATATTTTTTTATGAAATTCAAAGTTGAAGCAGTTTCTTGCTATGCTCCCAGAAAAAAGGCAAGAAGAATAGTTTGGTTTTGGTTTGGTTTGGTTTTTGTTAACAACAGGAATAGTTGAGGTTAGACTTAAATAATATTTTCAATTGGAAAGTTTGTGAAATGATGGACTGTATAATCAAGTGGGTCTGTGAAGTCCTCTTCTCCATAAATGTTTAGGTTAGTAGCTCTTCTGTCTGTTACTCACTGTCAGACCTAAAAGCTAAATATTAGCTTGAATTGATGTAATCTTACATGAAGCCACTACCACATTCCATATTCTTGAGACTCACCTGCCTCCAAAGCTTTTAAGTGAAAAAACTTTCTTTTGCTATTCTATGCATTGTTTATAAGGCATAAAGTATTGTACATGTATCTAACTGTGACTGGTCCCAGTTGGTATATTTGACATCCAAATAATATTGTATGCATAGAATTTAAATTTGTGGGCAGGAAGCTGGGTCTCTTGCTGAAAATATTCATCCTACTTTTCAAAGTATCAGAGAGTACTACATAATTTTAGAATTCATGAGGACTGAGCACCAGTGTTCTTGCCTGTGAAGACTTTCAGTCTAAAGCAGTGATTTTCAATTGGGGTTTGGCAATGTCTAGAGATATTTTTGGTTGTCACAAGTGGTACTACTGGCATCTGATGGGTAGAGGCCAGGGATGCTGCTAAACATCTTACAATGCACAGGATAGCTCCTCATAACAAAGAAGTATCTGACACAAAATGTCAATCCTGCTGCTGTTAAGAAAGCCTAGTCTAAAGTTTGATAAGAGGGACACACAAAGCCAAAAGATTATTATGGAAGAAGCAAGACTGAAGGGGGACAAAAATGGAAATTGTTATTTCTAAGTGCCTGCTGCAAATTTTCCACACATATTTATTCATTCTTCTCAACAATACCTTAAAGGTGGATATTAACTGTCCTCATTTTTATAAATAAGGAAATCTGGTCCCAAGGTGTTCAGTAGCATGCCTAACATCACAGAGCTAGTAAGTGATGGAGTTGGAAGTAGAACTAGCACTCTTCCCTCTCCACCACTAACAGTCCCTGAAAACTCTTACCAAAGACCATTTAGTGCCTTTATGGTTGGCACTGCCAGATTTAGCAAAGATTGTGTTAGACCTCATTCCTGCTTTATCATTCTTAGATCCCTTGCGAAGGAAATCTATTTAAAACAAGAAAAAATAAACGCATATGATTATATGAATTAACAGTCATGATCTGTCAGACACTTGAACAGAGTGTATTGAAATGAGTAAAGGCCAAAGGGAATTTGCTTCGTCTCTTTCAGTTAGCTAAGAGGGCTTTCTGGAGGACCTAGCACCTCACCCAAGGATGTGCCTGGCAGAGTGGGCAGTCCTATACCTAAGAGCTTTGAGAGAGGAGTGAGTGAGGTGGGGATTTCCAAGAATTCAAGGAACATAGTCCCAGAGTAACCTGCTAATGGAAAGAGATTTTTGTGTGGCAGTAAGACTCCTCATTCTGAAGCAGAGAGCAGAGAGACATTCCCACAGGGGTCCAAGGCAAAAGAAGAGCGAAGGCAGTGAGGGAACCAGAAAACTTTAATGGTAGAATTAAAGACGAACTGGAGGAAGTGGTGCTTGAGGCAGGGAAGGTGTTGAGAAAAGTAGTCAATGGCCAGAAGTGCAGGCACACATCCCAAACATGGCACTCCTCTCTCTGACCCTACGTAAGACTGTTAGGGCCACCTTCTAGCTATCACTTATTCCATTCTTTCCTGCTCTGCTTGGGACTTCGTTTCCACAGATCCTTTCCAAGAGGGACCTTGGTCTCTGGGCACTTCCTGCAGCAGTGCCCCGCGCTGCTCATCATTCATCTTTCCTAACTTCCTCCTGTACTAAGCAGTCGGGTCTTTATATGGCTGCATGTCTGTGTTTATGTGGCCATTAAAGTCTTTTGCGTTTACTACAGTCTCACCACAATGCCGTTTGCTCCAGACTATTACAATTCAGTTATCCTGGACTCCATCCTAGATGAGTATTTACTGAAGTACTCAAAGGACCTCTTTATGAGGCATGGACTTTATTATAGTGAAGTTCCCATGCTTGGTTTAGTTCTCTTTCCTCCTCTAGGGCAAAGACTATGCCTTCTTATTCTACTGTAACTCTCCACAGTAAGTAGAGCAAGGCTGTGCAGTCCATGGGTGTTCAGCAAATGGGTTGCCTCATTTGGGACAGATTACTTCATATGTATGAGAAGTGCTGATCTTGAAAGATTTTGGCCCTTTAGTTCTTGTTTAGAGAACTGTTTCATCTCTTTCCCTATTTTACTTGATTCTGCCGTATCTGGGAACACAAGGGTGAGTCCATCTTTTTCTAAAACAAGTTTTCTGTTAGTCCCCAAATCCTTAGTCTTTTTTTTTTTTTTTTTTTTTTTTTGATGAGTAGTTTAGCTTCTGATTAGTCCAGCTTTCCTTAGCCCAGCCCCACTTCTCTTTGGAGAGTTGGCCAGGGACAAAATAGATCTCAGATTTTGTTTGGTTTTGACATGTTTTTGTATGCATACCGAAAATCGATACTATTCTGATTCCTATCTCCTCTTTCCAAAGGCTTAAAATCTACTAAGGGCCTCTCCAGGCTCCAGCCAGGCCTTCTCCCCCTGCACTAAGACACCACCCTGATCAGTCTCGGTCTCCTGTGAGTTCTCAGGTCATTCCTTCTGGTTTGACAAATTGTCTCTTAGATAAGCATCTGCCTATTGTTTTACCCACTGGCTTCTAGTAAGATGATTCACTGGTTCAAGAGTTGCTGTGCGGAGAGCTTGTGAACAGTGGAGCTTGTCATGGGCTTTGATCTCTTTTCCAGGGGCCAGTGGGATGACTTCAGGGTTTGGTTCTTTGCCTGGAGTGATGTGTTTTGTTAGACTTGTTTACCTCATGGGTAGGACCCAAGTGCCTCCACCGAAGAAGGGAGCCACATGTTTATCCAGTTTGTCTTTCAGGGCATCATTCTGACTGCTGACTCTAGTGGTATCAGAATGTCTCTCCTTTTGTCTCCTATGGGGAGACAATTCTCAGAATTTAACCCCCTGCTCCACACACACACACAAACACACACACACACACACACACACCTGTTGTTCACATTTGATTGCCCTCAGACCATCTGCCAACTTGGTTTTTGTAAATTTGCAAAGTTTCTGGGGTGCCTGGAACACCTACTGAGCTGGGTATATGCCCTCCTCTACCTCCCCCAACCTTGTTTGTAGGTTATGTCTGCAGGTTGACACATTGCAGTGACCTTCCCTCTGTAGCTGTGCTGGCTTCCAGACTGAGGACCGGGTCGAGTCTCACTCACTCCTGTTCTTGGGTTCATCTCTGTTCTGTACAAGTAGATCCGTATGTGGGGTGGCGTGACACATTTTCTTTTACATGGAGAAACCTAATTTGTCCTTGAATTGATTAGTGACTACAGTGTTCTGTGGAGAAGGCCTCAGGGCTTTTCTAGCCATTGTTATCCCTTTGTATGTCTGGAATTGACTTTGAGGGGCTCTCAGGTTGGTTGTTTTGGAGTAATGAGTCTTTATGAATGGCCTGCCCAGAAAACAAATGGGGAACCATTCCAGGCAGTCTGTGTCCAATTAGGTGTCGGTCACAGCTGCATGGGCCTCTCTGGTTGGGTTAGAATTACGTTTTTTCCTTAGACATTCCCTTCTCTTTGTCGTTTACTTTTTATTGTAAAAGCATGTTTATGTTAGAAACTTTAGAAAATACAGATAGGCAAAAAGAAGAAACTAAAAACACCTACTGCCACCACTAAGCAATAACCAGTATTACTGTTTAGGTAATAACTGTTTAGGGGGCTGTGAGCCTTCTGAAACCCATATCTGATTGTGTATACGCTGTGGAGATGTTCCTAAGGAGAAGTCTGTGGCTTTCACTGGATTCTCAAAGTTAAGAACCTTAGGCTCTTTCTGGTCTGTCCTACTTCTTGTCTTGGCTGGCCAGAGCTGAATGAAACTAAATTGTGGTAGCCAAGCTGCTTATGTTTTTAGTATTTTGGGAGACAGTTTGCAGCCTAGCTATGTGGACCCAAGTTTTCTGTTACAGTAATTATCAGTCAGAAGGGAACTGTGCCAAGTATTTTGCTCCCTAAAAATAATAGCATTTATTGAGCATTTGCCATGTACCAGTTCCTATGCTGACAGCTGTGGCTTCTAAATAAACTGGGAGAACAAGGTAGAGTTTCCAAGAACCGTTTGATTATATTTGCCAAATGTGGGATATTAGCTTGATTTTTCCTTGGATTGTTGGAATTGTCATTCTGCATCCTGATTAAGTAAGACAGGAGATGTATATGGCCTCCGGGACTCATGCAGGACTCATGGGCCCTCAGGTTCTCTCTGACTGCCTCAGACCCAAATAGGCAAGGAGCAGAGGCAGCTAGTCCCTCTCAGTTTGGAATAGGGGTACTCTCCTTGGAATTCTGCCTGGACCTGGTATCTGCAGGCTTCTTATTCCCACTTATCCCATCACCCACCTCCAGTGTCGATAATAAAACACCCTTGCAGGGAGAGGAGAGGAGGACAAGATTTAACTCACACAGCTATCTTCATACATATTTTTTTTCTTGCTGTAATATATGGACTTTTTTTTTTTTTTTTTGCCAAGGCTAGAGTGCATTGACATCACATCCTAGCTCACTGCAACCTCAAACTTCCAGGCATAAGCAATCCTCCTGCCTCAGCCTCCCAAATAGCTAGGAGTATAGGTGTATGCCATCACACCCAGCTAATTTTTCTGTTTTTTGTAGAGACGGGGTCTTGCTATGTTGCCCAGGCTGGTTTCCAACTCCTCATCTCAGGCTGTCCTCCCACTTCAGCCTCCCAAAGTGCTGGGATTACAGGCATGAGCCACCACACCTGGCCCAGGCTATTTTATTAGTACATCAAATTATAAAATCTGCTATCGTTCCAAGTGCTTCGTACACATTTAACTCTCATGACATGTTTTAGGGGGGACTTGTCTTATTGCTTATCCACCGTGGAGCTACTGGAACAGTGCTGTAGCTTATCACAAACTCTTCAAAGGCAAAAACCATTTTTGTCTGATTCTCTTTGTGATAGGACACATGCGAGGGTACTTTTGAAGGTCTTTTAAATGCCACTGCCCTACCATCTCTTATTGCTAGCCACAGTAGGACAGGGTCTTGCTGATCCCCTTGGGTAAAACCAAGATGAATCTTGGCTTAGAAAGGCAAAAACAGTGTGGAGGCCGAGTGTCGTGGCTCACGCCTGTAATCCTAGCACTCTGGGAGGCCGAGGCGGGCGGATTGTTTGAGCTCAGGAGTTCGAGACCAGCCTGAGCAAGAGCGAGACCCCATCTCTACCAAAAATAGAAAGAAATTAATTGGACAGCTAAAAATATATAGAAAAAAATTAGCCGGGCATGGTGGCGCATGCCTGTAGTCCCAGCTACTTGGGAGGCTGAGGCAGTAGGATTGCTTGAGCCCAGGAGTCTGAGGTTGCTGTGAGCTAGGCTAACGCCATGGCACTCACTCTAGCCCGGGCAACAAAGTGAGACTCTGTCTCAAAAAAAAAAAAACAGTGTGGAGATCCTTAACCCCAGAGAGATGATACTCTCTGAGCATCCCGGGCTTGCCCCCACCCAGGCTCAAGGGCATAGGGCCTTGGCACTTGGGGGTGAACCCTGCACACTTTCTGTTCCAGGTGGAGATCGTGGGAGAGTGCAGATTGAAGACTCCTTTTTTCTGCATGTGTAGAATTTGAGCTGTTATTTGAAACTCCCTGTTCCTTATTAAATGGCTGACCTCATTTTTCCCCTTTATCTCTGCAGTGGTGGAGATCCAAGAAGGAAAGACAACTATAGTAAGTATCATCGAGTTGGCCACTTACAACCTCTTTAACACTTGGAGCTGCCTGGCCGCTCCTCTCGGGAAGGGAGGGAGGCCCAAAGTGGACTCTCCTGGCTCCAGGATCGCTCCCTCTGTGACCATAAATTCCACACAGTCTACTATTTTCAAGCTGTGTGCTATAGTGTGGCTAATCAGGAACAGTCGCTATGCTTGGGCTGGGGTATCTGTTACTTGATTAAAGTGACCTTTTGCATGACAAGGTCTCAGAGGTCTTTGCTGATATGTTCTCTGGCAGATGATAAATCAGTTTTCCAAAGGGGAAACTAAGGCACTTTTGCAGGCTTAGAGAGCCAGAGTTAAGTGACCCAGGGCCAGGAGCCCGGACCTCAGTTCCTTTCTTTTCTGCCTGGAATGACTAAGCTCCTCCTCAAATGATGCATTTAAAAGGTGACATTCTCTGGGCCCTGGCCTCACTAGCTGGCACCCTAGCTTGTCTGTTGGTAAAAAAGCTTCATCCGCCCACTCCCCTGTTTCCCTCATTGGACCCATCTCACCTCCCTTCCTTGGGGAGTCATGGGGCCTAGATTATCCTATAATCCTTAAAAGACAACGTTGTTTTCACGTGACCTTCCGTGCCTCCAAGAAATCCTCAGCCATTCAAGAATTCCCAGAACCCTCTGTAACTTCCATGTTAACCAGGGATTTAACCCTTTAGGCAGCCAGCCAAGCTCAGTCCTCTGCAAGGCACTCTTATCCCCAGGACGAGTCTTTTGGGTCTTCCCCTAGAAGACTCCCTCAGCCTTTCCACTGCATAGCCACAAAACAGTTCTGTCTTTTTAAGGGACCCCCCCCCATCCCCTTGGGGCAACTTTTTAAGTTCCCTGATTCAAAGCCAAAACAACATTCACCCTATAAACCCCATGCTGGAGGAGAGTAATACATCTGACTTTTGAGTGTAAAGAGCATTTTTCGTGTGGGGCATGAATCTGCTATTTGTAGAGCACACACGAGACATTGTGGCCTATGAGAGCCCTGAGGAGAGGGCAGAGCCCATCCATGCCTAGAGAGGCGCAGCCATGGCTGACTTTGGGTACTACTCTTTCCTCTGTGACATAAGATCTGACACCTACCTCACTAGGTTGTGGGGGTTAAACAAAATATTGAACCATTCTTAGCACAGAGCCAGGCACATAATGGGGAATCAATAAATGTCAGCTCTCTCCCCTCCAGCCCATCGCATTTACCACCTCCCCCACCCCAAGGTCTGCTATGTACCTGCGAATTTTCTCTCACTCATGCGTGTCCATTTCTGGTGTAGCTGTGGTTGCTGTGGCAGAAAGGTGGGTAGCAGTGCCCCGCACAGCCAAGCGGTATTTCCCGCCTCCTTTCCCCTTTTGCCAGTCCTCCCCCAGCAGTCAGTGTCTCTGCATTCCCAACGCCTCCCAGACCTGTCCCAGCCTCATTCTCATAATCCACGGCCTCAGTCCGCAAAGCTTTCTAAACTGCCCCCTTGCAGTTGGAGCTAATTCCCAGATCGTTGGTTTATTGCACCTACTAATTCCAAGGCTGTGTCACAGAATATGGCAGCAATAGGGAGGTCATTTCACATGTGGCCTCAGCAGGGTTTGAAAGGTGGCATCCCAATGATAAAAGCAGGGAGCAGGACAGGGGAGTATATCCTTTCATCTGTGTTTTAGGTTTTTTTTGTTTGTTTGTTTTTGTTTTTTAATAAAAAAGAAGAGAAGGAGTGCATACAGATATCTGCTTATATAGCACAGCCCAGGACTTCTCTGCCTTGGCATTATTGGTATTTCGGTCTGGATAATTCTTTGTTGCGGGGGCTGTCCTGTGCAATGTAAGGTGGTAGAGCATCCCTGCTAGATGCCAGTAGCCCTTCCCCCTGTTGTGACAATCAAAAATGTGTCCAGACACGGCCAGGTGTCCCCTGGGGAGCAAAATCACCCACCGGCATAGACTTAGCTCTGTAAGATAAAGCTAGAAACTGCAATTCCCTCTGAGGAGGACACGTGGGATGGAGGGAGACTTCCTTTGGACTCTACATCCCTGTGCCATTTGGAACTTTTTACCATGTGCGTGTATTACTTTTCCCAAAGGGGGGAAAAAGAAAGCATAGTGTTCTGGTGTTTTTGTTTTGTTTGTTTTGTTTTGAGGAAGAAAAGGTAGCATTCAGTTGATACAGCAAACCCCTCCCTTCCTCTTGTCACCAGTATTAAGTTCATATGGTTTCTGTTACCCCTGAAAGTTACCAGACCACATCCCCGTGGCCACCCCAAGGCTCAGTATACAGCAACTGCAGAACAAACACCACAGTTCAGACAGAGAGACCTGTTAGCTACTCCCACAAGACCCCCCCAGGATAAACTTTCAGCAGCATTCCCATCATTTTGGGGTTTTCTCAAAGATAAGTGGCTCCACACTAGCCCTGTCCCTCACACTGGCTTGTTTTCTCCGCCTCCTAGATTGAAGGCCGCATCACAGCGACTCCCAAGGAGAGTCCAAATCCTCCTAACCCCTCTGGCCAATGCCCCATCTGCCGTTGGAATCTGAAGCACAAGTACGACTATGTGGTAAGTCTTTGTGCAGAGACACTCGGGTCTGCGTGTCACAGAGATCGGATTCCCTAGTTAACTGGAGCTCCCCCTGCAGCTACTGCTGCATCTCGTGGAGTCACCAGAGACAGCAGCATTTTGTCCAGCGGCTCTCAACCGTGGCTGCTCCCCAGGTTATTCTAATAAAAAAAATTCTATTTAAAAAATAATGATGCCCAGACTCCAACCCAGACCGGCAGAATCAATCTCTGAGGGTGGGGCCTGAGCATTTTTTCAAAGCTCCCCTGACAGTCAGGGTTAAGAGCCACTGGTTGAGTTCACGGTCCGATTGTGCTTCAGACCACCAGGGCCCCGTAACCCAGCTTGCAGGGGTCATACTCCCGTGGGGATGGAATCACAGTCTGGGTTTGGCTTTTATAATGAGGGTGAATTTGAACAGGCTCTTGGTTCTCACTGTGATCTGGGAACACATTACTCTTTCCATATTGGAGCTATAAAGATACCTGATTGCTCTAGCTCTTCTAGTGCAGTTGCTTCCAGGAAAAGAAGACAGTGAAAAATAACGATAGGTAACATATAGAGTGCATACTTTGTGTCAGGCCCTGTTAGGAGTGCTTACATGTTTTAATTCACTTAGTTTTCACAATAACCCTCTGAAATGAGGGTTCATCCTCATTTTACAAATGAGGATATTTAAGACATGAAGAAGTTAATGAACTTGCCTCAGATCACCCAGCTAGTAAATATCAGAGCTGGGATACAAACTCCAAAGGTACAAAGCCGGCGCCGAGCCCATGTTCCTAACTACGACTCTGTACATGCTCTCTAGAGACGGGGCAGGCTGGCGGGTAAGGACACAGCCCTGGAGAAATCCATACTTGTTCTTCAGAGCTCTCCCTGGTGACATTAGCACCCTATTTTTGGGTTTCAGGTGATTCAGGCTCTGGGCCAGTTTGACCGGCAGGTCGTTCCTATGCCCCTATGCAGAATGGGATGACTAAGGGCAGAGATCCTGGTCAGGTGATAGGAGCAGGAAAGGCCACATGACCATGGGATCTGAACAGAATGACCCAACTAATCTCCTGGGCTGGAAGCCTTGGCTTCAGGCCACCTGGGGGGTAGCTCTTTCGCTACACCCAGCCTTCTGCTGATGGCTGTCTGGAGTAATAGAAAGCAAGCACACAGGCACGGGGGAAGTGTTCAGAGCTTTTCGCCATGTGGAAGGTAGTGGAGTTGTGGGCATACTTGGAATCTCAGCTGCTCACAGGAAAGCGAACCCCATACCTGCTCCGCCACTGTGGGACACTTTTCCTACCAGCCTTTTCCAGGAAATGTACTTGGCTCTGTTTACCCAGCAGAAGAAGTTTAATCCCTTCCGAGGTTGAGGCTAAAGTTGTTTTTCCTTTTACCCCTTTCCACTCAGAGCACCGTTAGCCTGTGCTGCACAACGCTGTCGGCTTGTTTGGCAGCCTACAGTGGGGGGCTGGGGCCTTGAGGCTACTTTATTAGCCCCAGATTAATCCAATCCAAGTACTTTCAGCAGATTCTGAAGGGTATAGGGTGGGAATTGGAGGCCTGGGTCCCTCAGGAACTGTCCAGTGATTAAAACAAATCTGCGGTTATACAGCGAGGCGCCTGCCAGGGAAGTGAGTTGGTTTGTGGAGCATGACTGCTAAGACTTGCATGCCAGGGCCCGAGGGGGAGGGGACAGTGAGTTTTAATTAACCCCTTCAGCCATTCTACGAGAGTTGGAGTTGGGCAAGGTGGTCCTTTGTTTGATCCTGGCTTTGTTTATCCCTGTTTCTCTGACCTGTCCCAAGCAGCCTGGTGGGCATGTGATGGTTCGAAGGAAGCACAAGAATCCTTTCACATCTGGTCCCGGGCGGCTTAGAATATGCGAGATTAAACTTCACAACCCTGGTCCCTTCCTCTCAGCTTTTATGCCTGCCTAGTACTTCAGAGGGAATGGCAGAAGGTGAAGGGGCTGTTTGTATATACTCTGGCCTGTGACTTGTGGGCTTTGGGGGCTAAAATGGTACAGGTTTTCCCTTTTGTGTGGAAATACATAACATGTCTCCTGCCACACCTGAGGAGAATAACCCAACAGACATTTTGTCACCAAGAAAGATACTTTGGGGGCATAAAAGATTGTTAACATTTCTTTAAGAGTTTCTATTCTCTAACCTAGTCTATCTCGTGGAGTTGCTGAGAGCTCTTGGATTGGTAATGGGGTACAGAAAATCTTACTAAGTTGGGATAACCTCTATTAGGGTGAAGGTAGCAGAATAGTGTGCAAAGATTTGTGTGGAGGGCTTGGTGTTAGTTTGGTTCCCTAGAGACATCAGCCTCTTGGAGTGCTAGGTCTACAGCCCTCTAGACCATGCGGCCCTGGTTCCCCAGCATCAAAAGAAAGCCCAGCTGGCCCACATCTCCTGTTTTCGGTTTCCACTAGGATGTTTTGCTGCTCAGTCAGTTCATCCGGCCTCACGGAGGCATGCTGCCCCGCAAGATCACAGGCCTGTGTCAGGAGGAACACCGAAAGATTGCGGAGTGTGTGAAGATGGCCCACCGAGCAGGTAGAGGGCGCCTCAGGATTAAGAGGGTGGCAAGCCATCTCTCCCCCTCCAGCTACCCCATGTTCCAGCCCCTCCTAGAAGAGAAGTGGATATCCAGAGTGTTAATTATACTCACCCCCAATACTGAATCCCCCCCCGGCTTTTGGCTTTCCCTCTGGCCCCCTCAGAGCTGCAGAGGGAGCTGCAGAGACTATCTCCTCTTCCCTCCACTCAGGTCTGCTCCCAAATCACAGGCCTCTGCTTCCTGAAGGATTTGTTCCAAAGAGCAAACCCCAACTCAACCGGTAAGCAAACCCGGGTGTCAGTAACCTAAGTGTTCTGTGGGCCCTCGGCTCTCACTGGATTCCACGGGGAAAACCATTTGCTAGAGCTTATCCTGCAGCTCAGGAAAGTTAGGGTGCGCCTTGGCTGCCCGGGCCATCCCCTTCCAGCTCAAGGACCCCACCACGGTCAGTCCCACCTCTGCTGCAGTCTGTGCTATTTCTCTTGCCTCCCTTGCTGGCCTCAGCCTCTTTCCTCTTCCCTTCCCTGTAGGGCCCTTAGCACGGGGGCGAGGAGGGTAACAAGGCCTGCTGATTGGGCATTAGAATGTGCTAATCCCCTGTTTATGACATCACACTGGGTTGCTATGGGGATGTCAGAGCACTTCTGCAAACTTTCAGTATTCCTAGCTTTCTCCAGCACTGGGGTTATTAGAGGGCAGAATGAGGTCTTAAAAATGGGAGGGCTGTCTTGGGTAGGGCCACTGTATACAGCTGTACAAGTCGTGCACTGCACAACTTCAGGGCAGAATCCATGTGGCCTAGATCACAAACAGTGCTCCCTAGAGTTGTACAGTTAACAACAAACACAGCTGCATGTAGGGGCCTCGGAAGTCCTGAGGTTTTATAGAGGAAGAGAGGAAAGGCCCCAGACACTGGAATCAATCAGTCTATCCTCCAGCCTAAGCAGAACGACCCCTCTAAAGTAGGAGCAGATTCTCATCTAACACCGAAGCCACTATCCTATTGCAAGTTCCTCTTCCTTCCCCGTCTCTGACATAACCACACTCATATACTCTTAGGTTTATATTATCTCCTTGTTGAGAATAGAGCCAGTTCTGTAAGATTGATCTGGGGGGTTCTTCTTGTTCTCTCCTACCAGTGTCCCCTTGCTCCTGTCTAGCTGCCACTGGTGGTTCTCAGACTGGAGTGAGAAGATAGAACTGCTCTCTGTAGAGTACCAAAGATGACTGAAGCAAAACAAGACACCTCAGGCCCCAGCAAACCTCCTAGGCTGATCCCCAACAGAAGCCAGGCATGGAGAGTATGAGGCTGGATTGCTGATCTGAGGGTACAGGATGTGGGGGTGCAGGATTGCTTCCTGGTACTTTGCCTCCCCCGTTCCTGGAGACTGGGTCAGAGCTGGACTTTCACCAGCGCGTTGCCAGCACCCTGCCCCTCTGCCCATCTCTACCTGCACCTCCCACATCGCTAGCTGGGCCACCTGCCAGCAGTCCTGGGGGAGCAGGACATGTTAATCTCTTCCTGTGTCTCCCAGCTGTGCTTTGGACCATTTGGGGGTTGAGCCCACCCCGCCTCTGGCTTTTTAAGAAACAGCAGCAGGCCTGAGGACACAATCCATCTTGCCCTCGGGCCTTTGAAGCTAGGCCAGGCTCCCTCCCATACATCCGTTGTCCTTTAAGGTGACACAGGATTGATGATGTGTGGGGGCTTTTGGGTTGCAAAAGGCCACCCTGGGGAGGAGGAGGGAGTTCAGCCTGCGAAGGAAATCGATTCCCTGGCAAGGGACTCTGTGATTCCATCTAGGGGTTCTTGAGCTGTCACGCGTTGGCCCAGGCTCTGCGGGGGCCACGCTTTGTTCTTCTGTTGCATAGCTCCCCCACAACACACCCATTCAGGAGAGGTAGGTAGGGGCTGGTTTAGGAAAGAGCCTTGGTTCTTCTGAGAGCTGGGGTATTCTCAGAGAGCTGAGTGGAGGCCACCCAGCCCACCCACTGCCAGCTGGCTGTGCCATGTGGCACAGGCATTAGGCCCAAGGCTAGCTAAAGCCCAACTTCCCTCAGATCTCTCCAACACATGGGGGAAAGAACAGCTTTAGGGCAGTAGATCTAGAGAACCTGGTCAGCCTTGGGGTCCTCTGGCGTCCTTGAATACCACTGAGCATGCTCCCATATCCTATCTCTTCATCCCACCCTACTCCACAGACTGGGAGAGTCCAGCAAAGGGGCCTTTGGTGTTCCCTCCCTTTACCTTACTCTTCCATCGTCCCAGTACCATCGACCACAGAGAAAGCAGTCCTCAAGAGCCAGCCCCTCCACAGCCATCTCTGGCCGGATACTCGGGGAAGGTCCTCCCCTCCCTGCCCTGTGCACACTGGGAGTGCGGGCCAGCACCTCCCACAGACTTCCCTCTGCACGAGGCTGACAGCAGAAGACCAAAGTCCAGCGGAGCTTAGTTGAAATGCATAAATCAGCAATCATTCTTTCACTTTTCTTCATCTAAAAGTTTTTGGCCAAGGTTACTAATTTATTTATTTATTTTCTTTAATTAAAAAGCTTCTCATATGAGGGTCTCTCAGGACAGCTGGATTGAGCCCCAACCTAGAGTGGAGGCAGGGGAGGATTCCTGGCCTTTTTCATGGCTGAGCTTTCAGGGTGAAGGATGGGCCTTTTTGGACGGGATCCAAGTTTCATTCTGGACAGAGTAAACCCTGGTCCCCGCCGGCGTGAGCCACTTTTCTGGGAACTATCAGGGCCCTGGCCATCCCAAAGGAGGCCAAAGGACATGGGTAGCAGCCATTTTTCCCCACCCCCATCCTACTTACAGGAACCTTCCTGGGCTAGGGCTACACCCATGGGCCCTCACCGCTTGGCTGCTGTCATGGGTCGGGTGAGGCAGGGGTCCTACACCAGTGATGATGCCCTGGGCGGGGGTTCCCTGAAGGCTGGGGTGACTGAGTGTGTCAAGTGGGGAAGAATGAAAGGCTCCTCCAGGCCCTTACATAACTCTCATCTCCCCGTGGCTGAGGCCAAGAGAGGAACAATCTGCTCCCCAAGCAGCATCTTTCTCTGCCTTCTCCCCAGCAAACATACACACACTGACAACTCATAAAGATCAAGGGAGCTCATGGCCCTGGGCTGCCTGACCCTGGCCACACAATTGCAGCAGCAAGAGCCCAGCCCATCTGTTTACAGGACACTTAGCGGCTACTCCCAGGAAAATCTCTGCCCTTCAAGAAAGGGAAACTGGTGAAAGGGTTTGCTTGGCCCAAGGAGGCAGTGCCCTATTCTCCCAGTTCCAGCATGGGACCTCAGTCCTCACCCCCTTGTCCTCCCTCCATAGGTACCTGACCCGCTGGTCTCCCCGTTCTGTCAAGCCCATCTACAATAAAGGCCACCGCTGGAACAAGGTGGGCATGCCCGTGGGGTCACCGCTCCTGAAGGACAACATCTGCTACTCACCAACACCTTTGAAGCGTTATCATTGACGGAGAGCAGGGCTTCCAGAAAACCCGGCTGGAGCTCCTCCTGCACCTCCACTCATCAGCCCCAAGCCACACTGCACTCCTGCCCCATCCCACCAGGATGGCTTGGCCTCTCCAATGTGAATGGACAAGGGACAGTGGAACTAACTTCAGTACCATTGTCCTGCCCAGGAACAGTGCTGGGATCTAGGGCAGGCAAGGGCAGTTAGGTGCCTTAGCAGCTGCTTTGGAGCTTGGGCTGAGCTCAGTGCTGAGGGACAGGAGTTTTGCCCAAAGGAGTGGCATAAACTAGGCTTATGGGCTTACTTACTGGGTATGTGCTCACTGCTTGGGAAGTCAGGGGGCCTGGGCACATTTCTGGATGATTGCTGAACACTGAGGTGCTGATCTTTTACAGTGGGCGACATGATTGCAACTGGAGGGAATTCATGGACCAGACGGCTTCCCATCTTTTTTATTGACAGTTGGGAGCTTTCTAGTCTCGGGGAGCTGCAAGGGGGTGAGTTGGGCTCCCTGGCCCACATGTAGCTCTTGTGTGAATCCAAGAAACTGCCTTCCTCAAAGGGCCCTTTTTCCCCAGCCATTTCCACTCATCATTATCTAGTGTTTTTCTTTCTCTCTCTCTTTTTTTGAAATGGGGTCTGCTTTGTTACCTGGGCTAGAGTGCAGTGGCATCATCATAGTGCAAAGGGATCGCTTGAGCTCTCAAACCTCCTGGGCTCAAGCAGGTCCTCCTGCTTCAGCCTCCTGAGCAGCTAGGACTATAGGTGCACACCACCACGCCCAGCTAATTTTTTTTATATTTTATACAGATGGGGTCTTGCTATGTTCCCTAGGCTGATCTTGAACTTCTGAGCTCAAGCGATCCTCCCACTTCAGCCTCCAAAAGTGCTGGGATTACAAATGTGAGCCATCACGCCTGGCCCTAGTATCTCATTCCAGCCCTCTTCCACTTGCTTTAGAGATGGGTTTTCTGGCTCTGTGGGCCTCTCCTCAGAGCCTGGAACCGGATGGATGTGAAGATGAGGGGAGGCAGGACAGAACAAACAGGCCAAGTTTACTGAAATTTATGAAAACAAAAATATCCAGGCTGGCCCCCATCCTACAGCATGAAGGGCAAGTCTATGTTCTTCTCACCAGTGCCCACGTAGATGTAGCCATAGTTCTTGGTGCGGGGAGCATGGTAGAAGGTGAGGCCCGGCCAGAGCAGGCTGCGCAGCACCACCAACGCGTTGCCTCTCTCCATCTGGATGCTCCAGGACCCTGGGGAGGAGATGGGTCGGAGCTGAGGCCTGGGTGCTGCTCTGGAGCCCAAGCTCTGCCAATGATACAGAGGCCACCAGCTCCTTGGGCAGCCAGGCCTGAGTGCTAAGGTTCCACTGGGGAAGGGCAGACAATTCAATTACTCCTCCTGATTGCCTTTTAGCTATTTCACTGTTCATTAAAACCGTGTCCAGAGGAAGGGTAGAGGAAATGAAAAGAGGTGAAACTCAAACCAGTCAGTTTTGTTCCTGATAGCAAGTCTAGCTAAAGGTTGAGTGGCAGAAGAAGCTGAAGCCCCAGGCAGAGGGGAGCTAGCCTGGGCTAGGCGGGACTCTCCAGGCTCCCCTCACCCGCTACCAGGGGTAATGGCCAGTGGTGTTTAGCCCTAGTGTGGTTTGCCCCTACTTGCCATTTTGCTCTCTCTTCCTCAGTCCCAGAAGCCTCTGCTCTGAGATGAATTATACTCGACCAGGGGTTCAAATAGAAGTTTGGCCAATTCAGGCCTCCCAGTCAATGGCCCTTTTTGGTTGCTGGTAGACTGGGGGCCATCCTAAGTGGGAGGGGACTTGGGCTGCCGCTAATGAGCCTTTGTCTGTCCTGGGTTCTGCCCTGGATTTTGCTCTCCCAGACAGGAGCAGCCCAGCCTGGGGCTGAGTTGTGCAGCCATGAGGACTTGGCTGAAAGGGCCTGATCCAGCTCCAGAACCAAGGGAGGGAGCCACTGTGTGGGAGGAAGGAGCCTGGGAAAATCGCCTCTGGATGCAGATCTGGGGCTTCTATTCCCCTGCGCACTGAGGCCTCTCCCGGCCCAGCCAGAAAGGCAAATGCTTTGAAGGTTTTGGTGTCGGACCAGCCAGCCATGCACGGAGAGCTGCTCCGAGGCCTTCATCGGCTGCCAACTCAGCCCGGCTGCTTGGCTCCCACTGCCCCAGCTTCCCACAGGCCACCTCCAAACATGGCCCACCCTGGTCAGTCCACACCCAACAGCCTCACAGCTCAGTCTTCACCCACTGGGGGCCACCCTGCGTCCAAAAAACCTGACTGCCGGGAACCCCTGACCCTCATAGCAGCTCAGTCCTGCTCAGGGTGTAGTCACCTGCCCAGGTCAAAACCAGAGTTTTCTGGCAACATGTAGGTCGGCTGCCTCTGTCCCAGCTCAGGGAGAAGCCATCTCAGAGCTCACCGTAGCACTGTGCAGTGGCCAGCACTAAATGCCACCACGTATGCATGGGATGATTAAATGCAAGCCACAGTGTGGACCTGCGTCAGCTCCCACAGCCCACACTGCCTGCCGGACAGTATCGAGTAGAGTCCCTGCGTGACCAGGGTTCTGGCTGGAGCACTGCCCCCAGGAAGGGAAAGTATTTCCCTTGGCTCTTGGAGCTTTTCTCTTTGGGCATCTGAGGCTCTCTACCTCTCAGACCTGCCCTCCTCAGAGTTCAAGAGACCCTAGCCTATTTTCTGGTCACACATCTCCGGAAAACAGATTGCCTGAGGGTGATGAGGCTGGGGTCTGACAAAGTGTTCCTACTACACTGCTTTCAGCCTTTGACAAGAAGCACAGGCCCAGGAAGGTATTCTCTCCCTTAGTCACCTCTCCAGTGCCCAGAGCAGCATCTAGGGCCAGCTTCCACAGAGACACAGTCCCTCCCTGCCCTTGGAGCCCACGGTCACAGCCCCTTGAACTAAGAAGGGCCAGGTTCTGCCTCATTCCTCTGTGCCCACCCAGCTAGGGTGCCTTGCAGCCTGCCTGGGCCAAATGCCACCCTGGACAAAATGGAATCCTGGAGGCCACTCACCCAGCTAGACCCTTCTCATCAGTCCACTGTCGCCAACATGTTGAGTCACCTTAGCAAGGACAGGGGCCTGTCCTGCTCTCACACCAGCCTGCTTGCTCTATGGTTTGGCCACCTCTTACCTCCAGTAGAGGAGGGAGGGAGTGGGGTCTTGGACAATGGCCCAGGCCCATCAGCAGGGGCTCCCACCCAGAGAGCAAGGAGTAACCGCAGGGGTGCTAGAGACGGTGCCCCCACCAGGGCAGCCAAACAGGCTGAAGGGTGCTGGCAGGATACATTGGCGGCACACAAGGGGCCAGCCAGCAGAAGGCACTGGGTCCCCCTTCCCTCGCCCATGTTCCTATCACACTCCAGTCCTCTCATCCTTGCCTCAGCTGGTCACCTGGGAAACAGATTCTGAACATGCCATGAGTCACGTAGCATCTACCTGAGGAGGCAGGCACTTGCTGTCACCTTCACCCTCTTACTGCGACTGTTGAAAAGGCTGAGCCCAGCAGCTGCCGTCACCTCCTCTAGGATTCAGAAGAAAAGTCTCCTGCAGCCCTGGTGTTTCGGTTCTCTCCCAAGTCTCCCCAAACCTCCCTCCCTGATGCTGGCGGCCACCATTCTCCAGACAATCTGTGTTTTGAGGGTGCACAGGGCACAAGCTGGTAATCAGGAGAGGGGCCTCTTGCAATCGGCAGGAAGTCCTAGATTTCCTGGGCCCCGGGGGTCTCACCCACCTTGCTAGTGTGGAAATGTCGGGCTAGGGTGTACTTCTAATTAATTCCCCTGCCATCCAGGAAGAAAGGCAGCAAAGCTCTGCGATTAAGACTGAGGGAGAGAGCGGGCCAGGCCGGGGATCTGGGCTGTCCAGAGGCAACAGATGGCTTAAGCCCTCTGGCACAAAAGAAAATTTTGTCACAAAAGAAAATGGCTGTGGGTTCCTGGTGGGGGGATCCACCCGCATTCCCTACCGGGGCCACAAGGTAGAGTTAAACCCCTTAGAGGCCTGGGGGCAGAGGAGGAAGAGTGAAGCACCCCTGGTGCCAGTCCCCTATCAAATTGATGGATGGGCACCAGGGCCAGGCCCCCTGGCCCGGAAGGCTGAGCACTCAGCCAGGCTCCCAAGGGACTGGGGCAGGAAGAGCCACCTGCACACACCCTTAAGGAAGGCTGACCCCGGGCACCATGTTCCCCACCCCTCTCAATGCTCCTGTCTCACTGGCCCCTCCGCCCCCTTCTCTTTCCTCAACCACAATCACCACCAGCTTCCAGAGGCCCTTTCCAGGCAGGCGGGCCCCTTGCTGCCCTCTGCTGCCTGAACTGAGCATTGCTGCTGGGAACTTGGTTGTGACCCAGCCCCGGTCTGCACCTGGCAGTTCCTCTGCTCCAGTCCAAAGTGCAGCAAGGAGAGGAGCTCTGCCCTCCTGTGCTCTCACTCAGCTTCCCAGGACACCAAAGACTCCATTTGTAAGGCACCTTCTAGTTCATGTTTCCCCTTCCCATTCTCTGTTTCATTTGATCTTCCCAAACCTTTGCGTTTCTGTGAGGAAGGGAGTGTCTATCCTGTTTCGAGGGCATCATAAGCACCTGGCATGTCATAGCTGCTCAATGGCTATTTACTGATGGATTGAACAGTTGAGAAGTATTGAATGGCGGACTACTACCTAGAAATCTGGCCTCCTGACCTACAGTTCCATCTATGTCACCTGGCTGTAGCCCAAGATTGCAGAACTCTTAGCTGTTGCCTTGTAGCCACCAAGAGGATGGTCCTGCCACCCCAGAACTAGGTTGTGGCCCCCAAAGCTACCCACTTCCACAAAACTCTGCAGGTCCCAGGGCATGGCATGACAGCTCATGAAGACATTAATGGCCCTGAGCAAAATCCCTCCCTCTCCTCTCTTCAGGCTGGCCCAGGGACAAGCTGCTGAGCTCTGGCCTATTCCATGGGCACAGAGAGCAGGAGTCCCAGGGACTGCGCCAACCTAACCACACCTCACCTGCTCAGAGGTGACACAGAGTCACCCTGAACAATTGCCTCAGATCCAAAAATGAAACAATGATCCTACCTGAGCAGAAAACAGCTGCCAAGTCCCACCCTTTAGCCAGTCCTGGTGTCCCAGGGAACTCTTCCTTGAGGTTTTGGCTCTACTTAGAAGCCCAGCCCAGCCTGGCAGGGCAGCCTCCCAGCAGCTTATCCTGCTCTTTCCCTGGCTGATGAGAAAGGGAATCTGGGAGAAAAATCAGGGCTGTCTGCTCTCCCCTGACCATCCACACTTCCCCACACCATGGCCCCCACCAAACCCTCGTAAGAAAAGCTGGGTTTGGATGGGCTCTGGCAGGCTCTGAAGGAAGGATCTGAAGGCCTGGAGGCCCTGAGGCTGCAGAGAGGTTTCTCAAGGTAAGACCAGGAAGCTCCCTCCCCTCAGGCCCATACCCACAGGAAATGCCAGGAGCACTCAGCTCCCGAGGCTCCAGCAGCCAGGACAGAGCCCCATGCTGGAGTGGGCTGGGAAGGGCAGCCAGCAGTTGATCCCGCAGCCCTGAGACCCACCATCAGGGCAGCATGCCTAGGGCCTCGGGCCACTGCAACTCGCCCTCTCCCAGGCCCAGATCCCATTCCTCCCAGAGGCCTAATGAATTCACCAACTGACTGGACACATCAGGGTGGCCCCAGCAGCCTTTAGGAAGACCCCCCAAAGCTCCACATCTTACTTCCCCTGCTGCAAGGAGAGACAGCTGCCTTCTGAGTCCCCTTTAGCTCAGGTGGCAGGCAGACAGGGCTGATGGTGTTCCTTTAGGAAGACGGCGCTGGGCCCCACCCCATCTAACTGGCTTTGGTCTTGACTGTAGAAGACCCTCTTTGCCCCTCTCACAGCACAGAGGATGAGGCTTCGTGGGGGAGGAGAAGATGCTGGGCCAGCCCCATCACCCAACACGAGGGAAAGCTCATCCTCCAGCCCTGCAGCATCTGGCTGCACGTGAGAAGGTTGTGAACACACCCTGAGTCAGGGCATGAGGCTGGTGCCCCCTGATTAGGGGAATGAAGAAGACTTCTGTAGGCCAACTCCTCAGGCCCTGGCATGGGGTCCCACCACCACCACGTCCCTGGCTCCCTTTATCAACAGGGATGTGCAGCCCCCCTCTGACTCCTGGCAAGGCTGCAAACAGAGCTGGAGGAGACAAGGGGAATCTGAAAATTGTGTCTGATGGGTGAGAAATG